CTCTGTATATTCACCTTCATTATTGTTTTCACTACTGGCATGCCATACATCGTTTGAAAGCTTAATTTCTCAATAAAACAACCATATCATTCATTTTATGCCGTACAACGAGCCCAAAACGCGATAACTTAAAAATTCACATCATAATCAAAGAATAAAATACGTGTTTCTTACCTTTGAGCCGGTTCTGTCGGTCCAAAACGCGTTCAATCCATGAAAAGTTGTACTCAATAAGTCCGTAATAATCCACAGAAAAAGAATATCAAGTTGTTTTTTCCATAAAATAATTCCATGTGTGGGGAAATAATCCAAAAAATCCTCGTCCATGTGAATGGATGAAAGCGTGAATGAAAATATTTGTTGCCTTTCCGAGCCTTCTCCCTCTCTGAGTTCCGTTTCTCTTGGCGCTCTTGGGTACGCTTGTTTTCCTCACACTCTTAGCTTCAAAATGAGACCCTCCCCGCTGTTGTCGGTGCCGTGGTTTAGCTGGGACAAGCCGCTGAAGAAGCTAACGCACCCATGTACTTCCTGGCTTTACGCACGCGTCATCAGTTTGTTTACGGGAAATCTCTTCAGTCATTGGATCTTCCAGAAAGTGATTGACATATTGTTTTAGCCTATCACCAGAGCTTTCAAACGGTGGGTGGGACATGCAGACAGTATTTGAAACGGGCGCGGTGTTTACAGGCGCCACAGAGAGGGACACAAGAAGCGGTTCGGGAGGGGCCATATTGGGCAGATCTGCCACTTGGAGGACAATTTTGGCTACTTTTAGGTTTTTTTCTTGAGAAAACATGCCTAAAGCTCAGAAGAATTAGTATTATAATAATAACAATTATTATTATTATTATTATTATTATTATTATTTTGGCACAAATTTGGCAATCTTGTGCCGAATTGTCATTTTGTATACACAAAGGCTCACAGCATCAAAACCCTTTGTCCTAGAGATCTGAAATTCTACACAGTTGTTGCCAACAACTTGAACAATGAGTGTAGTGAGTCACAAATGCCTAGCATGAAGTATGCCCAAGCTAAGGCCTTTATTTTTTTCAATTGTTTTTTCGAAGCAAAAAAATACAATTTTTAATTGACTGTACTGTAGGTTAGGCAGCACTCACAGTCTTCATATACATATCTACAGAAACTGACACTTGTTTCTAATTAAACAGGATACAGAGCCAGAAGAGAACTGCGTAACAGGAATGAGGATGGGCATCCTTACGGTTGTTGAAGATGATGCTGCCACTGTTCTGCCAAATACGAGGGGCCATGCTATTGTTCTTGAAGAACAGATAGTGGTTGACGACGTAAGTGACCTGCCAACAGCTTTTGCTATTTTATTTGGTCTCATTTATAACCTGAACATGGGCTATCCCAACCAACTTAAGTACACATTTGAAGCATTGCAGAAAGTGTTGATGTGCCTGGACACTGACTGCTCAGCCAGAGTTCAGTCATTCAAAAACAAAATCTTGAAGTATTAGGAAAAGTGCATATGACAGGTTTTGATGGTTCTCTCATTTCTGTTTAATTTGGTCAGTTAATAACATTTGTGAATATAAATTGTACTAGTATATAAATCAAGAAGAAATTTGCAAAGAAAAGTTGAAAAAATATGTCGAACATTGCAGGATGTGGAGACTTCTAAAGTTCTACACAGATGACATTGCACTAGGGAGAATTCAAAACTTTTGCGCAATTTATGCATTTTTCTGACACTTTTAACATTATTTCAGCAAAATAAAGAGTTTATTATAGTTTTATTTTTCCAAATAATAATCTGTGTACATTAGAGGAGTTTTGGCCCGGTATACATCATGGTACTTTAGTTATGTAATTCCCTAGTGTGATGTCACGATTTCCACCCAGGAAGTGAAATCTGAAACTTCAAAAAATGGCCAAACTTGGGGGGAAAAATGTATTTTAAATAAAAAAAAAATAAAAAATCTTAAATATAATCACTATGCTTTAGTGAAATAAGTGCTACAACGTGTCATAGGCTCTTTAAGTTTTTCGGTGGTTGTACTCATTTTGAAAAAAGATGGATCGGTGCATCTGTAGTTACACGTTCATTTTGAGTGCTTACCAATAAAGATACATTATTTTTACAGAGTTCTATTACAGAGGTAAATCCAAGTCATTATTTAGCCTGTTATCCAATATTAGTATTCAGCTCATTAGCCCCATTTCATTATATAGGCTAAGTTATAATTCCTTCATAGTATAGCCTTTTATTTATTTGAAGGGCTGTTTTTAAGGTGTTACTATGATCACTATAGTTAGCTTTGTTGTTAATTTTAAGATACATTCACCTTTTCGGATAAATTAAACCCTTGTGCCTTGTTGAAAAAATGCATACAATGTGAGAGTGTTTCATACAAATTGTATATTTTGGTTTTTAAACAGGTATAAAATATATATATATATATTTAAATAGGGAAGGGGTTCTCTTTAAAATTACATATTGGGATTAAAAATTACCATAATTTGCCAGTTTTTGCCCCTTTCCACCTTCTGCCAATTAATAAAAAAGTGATATAATGGAATTATAATTAAATGTATTTCACTCTTATCAGTGTGATGGGGAATATGGACTTTGGGCCATTTGTGTAAAATCAACTTGAAAAGAAACAAAAATTGCATTAAGAATGTTTTGTACAAATTGTGCATTTCGATTTCTGAACTGCCTTTAAAATCGTCACATGTTAGTATTCTTCAATTTTTAGATGGAGAAATACAGATGTATAGATGGATATGGAGATGGATGTATAGCAATATCACAATAAATGCACCTTTAGATACACAAATTTGCCTTAACAAGGCACAAAGGTTAAATGAGAATTTAGCTAAACTGTTAAATACAATATTAAACAGCCAGCATCTGTTAAATTCATCCTTAAGGTAGCTAACAAACTTTTAATGGGTGTGAAATGTTAAGATTATATGCGTACTTGAATATACTAAAGAAAGTTTATATTTTGTATGCAATTTTATAGAAGTTTTAACCACATAAAAGTTTTAAAATGTTACTTATTAATTGTGAAGTACAAGTATATGTCTGCACTTTAAAAATGTTTGTTGCAACTGCACTTACAGTCCCTGACAAAAGTCGTGTCGCTTATCCATTTTGTAGAAACAAAAGCTTATAACCTGACTTTAAATTAATCGATTGGTTTTAGAAATGTCTCATATGAAAGCTAAAACCCTCCCAAATTATGCTCAATATACTAAAATAAATTTGCTTCACTGAAGAAAGATTGATCATTTAATGAACACAGAAAGGTCAGATTTTGGCAAGACAAAAGTCTTGTCGCCTTGTCATATGATGCACCCAATCCTAGATTACAGCCTCACCTGTGATCAGTTACTGATTAATCAATTAGTGGGTGTGTATAAAAAGAACCCCAGCACACCAGACTTTCACATCAACTGCAACTTGACCTCTGACAACATGCCTAAGATCCACCCTGAGACCAAAGCGTTAAGTATCAAGAGGCTGAAGACCAGATCCACTGCTGAGGTGGTGACACCTTCAATGTGTCTCAGCGTCAAGTACAAAGAATAAGAAAAAGATCTGAAATGACTAGAGATGTTTTTGACAAGCCCGGGTCCGGCAGACCCCGCAAGACAACTGCTCGGGAGGACCGTTTGTTGATTCGAAAATCCAAGGCAGCCCCTTTTCCACTGCAGCAGAGCTCCACCAGGCCTGGTCACCTCAAGTCCCTGTGTCAACCACAACAGTTTGTAGAATTCTGTCTTGAAATGGCCTCCATGGTCGAATCAGTGCACAGAAACCAGCACTAAACAAAAGGCAATTAAAAAAACCGTGTGGCATTTGCCAAGGCCCACAGCCTGCTAAAAGGATGGACACTGGAAAAGTGGCAGAAGGTGGATTTCTCAGATGAATCCTCGGTTGAATTACATCACAGCCGCTGCAAATATTGCAGGAGACCTTACTGGAGCCCGCATGGATCCAAAGATTCACCCAGAAAACAGTTAAGTTTGGTAGCGGAAAAATCATGGTCTGGGGTTCCATCCAGTATGGGGGTGTGTGAGACATTTGCAGGGTGGAAGGCAATATCAATAACCTAAAATATCAAGAAGTATTAGCTCCTCTTACATTCCCAACCATAAAAGGGTCAAATTTTGCAGCAGGATGGTGCTCCATCGCATACTTCTATCTCTACATCAAAGTTTCTCAAGGCGAAGAAGATCAAGGTGCTGCAGGACTGGCCAGCCCAGTCACCAGACATGAACATCATTGAGCATGTCTGGGGTAGAATGAAAGAGGAAGCATGGAAGACAAAACCAAAGAATCTTGATGAACTCTGGGAGGCATGTAAGACGCTTTCTTTGCTATTCCTGATGACTTCATCAACAACTTGTATGAATCATTGTGGAACCGCATGGATGCGTCCTTCAAGCTCATGGAAGTCATACAAGATATTAAATATGGATCTCACAGCACCACTACTTAATTCACTGATGTTATGCAACATATTTTTGTATTTGAAGTAAATTATTTATTCAATTTTCTGTAGGCGACAAAACTTTTGATCAATCTTTCTTCAGTGAAGCAAATTTATTTTAGTATATTGAGCATAATTTGGGAGGGTTTTAGCTTTCATATGAGACATTTCTAAAACCAATCGATTCATTTAAAGTCAGGTTATAAGCTCTTGTTGGCACCGTCAACTCAAAAAAGCTTCGCAGCAACTGCACACACTATTTTAAGTTGAGTCAGCTTTTTTTTTTTTAACAGTGCATGAAGATAGAAAACTTGAATACCATACCATACATATTCCAAACGTGCATAGCAATGGGGAAAAACGGTTAACGGATCTTCCACCATAAAAGTTACAGAATGAACCTTTAACTCTTCTCATCAGCCTATTTGAGATTTTAAGTTTTCAGTGTCTTCAACTAACAGAATAAATAAAAATCTGAGTCGATATAGAGATATAGTTGATATAAACATAGTATAACAGGTCTTGTACCTTGCCAGCAGGCGCCCACAGTGAGCTGCATGTCGATCTGGGACGGGTGGATGGGCCAGTCGTCTGTGACCAGGTACGGCTCATAGGACACTCCGTCCACGTACAGGGTCACCACCGGAAACTCCACATTCAGCACGTAGTAATGCCACTCTTTATCACAGATCTGAGGAGAGAAAAGGACAGTAGGGTTAAAGTTAAGTTTACAGTTAACAAAGCTTTTGTCACTTGTAGACTTGCTCACAGTGGGAAGAGGAACCACAACTTTTAAGACTTGTAAGAGTACTGTTACTTCAATAAAAATATGACTCAAGAATGGAGTAAAAGTATGCTGCTAAAACTGCACTCTGAAAAGTATAATTTCTTTAAAAAGTGACTCAAATAAATGCAACTGAGTACTACCCACCTCTCTATTCTGAAGTACTTTTACTATTGAAACTTCCCTTTTATACATTCTCACCCATTCTGCATTCATTTGACGTCTTAATTTGTCCAAGCCTTTCTTCGGCTGTCTTTCTGTCACATTCTGTCTCAAATATATCCATCTCTCCTTTAGACTTCAGACATGCCCGCTCCCATTGTGCAAACCACTCTCTCCCACAGCTTCTCTCAAATTGCCTTTGCCACACTTAGCCCCACATAACCCCAGTCTGTAATGAAGATTGCAAAGCTAGCTTCCTATTAACACAATGCCAGCGCAGCAGATGGGAGCGCTAATCAATCTGCCTGCTTTTCTATGGCAGCTGGCTCATACTGGAGATGGTTCGAAACATCTGCTAAATACATATGTGCGTAGTCAGGCTGCTGAGTCAGATTCAAAACGCGGCGATGTGATTGGCTCGTGGGGTGTCACGTGATCGTGTCTCTCGATATATGCACTAACTGTACGGATGTTTATTCAGTGTGAAACATCTTGTCCTCGGCTCCTTCTTATAATTCGAATCTGAAGCCTTGACTATTTAAAGTGCAAACCGTTGCTCTCCACTTGCTTATGCCAAATGGATAAAAAGACTGAGTAAGACAAATGAAAAGATGCAAGATTGAGAAGAAGAGTTGCCAAAGGTGCACTGTGTAACTTTCCTGGTTTTCCTGGAATGTTCCTTAGTATGGAGAAAATGTATCGCTCATTTATTTAGTTAAACATGTTTTTATCAGAAAGGAAAGGCTTAAACACATGCATTCTTACTATGAGCAGTCTTGGCTCTCCACAGATCTGACCTGTAACTAGACCTGGTAGATGGATTATCCCCAGTGGATATAGAGAAGTTTACATGCCCTGTTTACACGTACATGGGTATTTTTTAAAAACTTAGACATTTGCCTTCATTTCTACCCATCTTTTACACAGAAACGGTAAAGTCGCCTCTGAAAATGAATCTTTCTAAAAAGTCCAGCTAAAGTGGAGATTGTGGAAAACTACAATTTTGTGTTTGTGTGTAAAGTGAGATAAATAGAGTTTTAGCAGCTGAAGCTCCAAAAGTGCGACCCATGTTTAACTTTTGCAATGGCGATGATCATTGAAGCATTTAGATCAGCAGTCACATTTCTTCTGGTGCAAACACTTTTCAAGAAAAAACTCAAAATAGATTTAAACAACACATTTTCAGGAGTCTGTGACCAAATGCTCATAGTATAGGAGTATGATTTTCAACAAAAATGATGAATGTGACTAGCTAGGGCAGGGGTGAAATTTACTTTTGAAATCCTGGCGCTTGATGTGGTCAGCCTGTACAGAAGGTAAATACAAGTCTGTTCAAATGTTACAAACCACTCACGTGCACACCTTAACAGAAATGACATAACACGTAGATGTACTTTTTACATAACAGCAGAGAAAATGACTTTTGATTTCAGTGGGAACAGTGTTGTTGGTGTCCCTTTTTAGCCAGTGCATCAAAATCTGGAGTTAGTTTTGTTGTGGCGATTCTCAGGATGCGTTCGTGTGGTGTCGGATTTATCGGAAAAATGACTTTCCCACTGGGAAAATTCACATAAACGCCCCATCATGTCAGAAAAACAACTCGGCAAGTCAGATCTTTGACACACATGAATACAGAATAACAAGATGCACCTCAACAAAGGTCGATATAGCTAGAGTGCGCCATCTATTGGAAAACAACTAAATTGCATGAAAAATAAAACATTGACAAGGTTTATTATTATAATTTATTCAAGTTTGGTGGGCCAGATTAAAAGGTTTTAAGGACCGTATACAGCCCCTGGGCCATAGTTTGCCCACCCCTGAACTAGGGTAATTAAAGCTCAGATTAATAGATTAAACAGAGCTTCAGACAGAGCAGTGCCTTCTTATAGCATAACATCCCCAAGGAATGACTTAAGATGCAAAGTATCAAGTATTTTTTATTTATTTTTTTTACCACAAATTAGTTTCAGTATCAGGAATCAAATTAGAATACTTTTAATGGTAGTTTTAGTATTGAGTTACATTTTGGGTTTTGAATTGTTGTAATTTAGTTTTAATACATTCTTCTTTCATATTTCCTTAGTCTGTGTTTGCAGCACACAGCCTGTATTTGTAAGAGGAGTAACAGGTTCTCACATTTGGGAGCTGTGAATCTTGGACTAACATTGACTGTGATTTCTCATTGACAATCTCTCATTATATTTTTTGTCCTGTCCAAATGTTCATATTTACACTTAGCTATTTTAATTGAGATGATGGAGAGAAAGGAGAGTTTGGTCCCCCTGTTGCAGACATGTCGAGAGCAGGTGTCTGCAGTCACACATGGGAGACTCCAGCTGGACACTGTTTGGCTGTGTGGGGGAAAATAAAACTTAAAAACTTAAAAATAACATGGAAATGAAGAAGTTTTGGTGTAAAATCAAAGACTGAATGCCAAGTTTTCAGTACAGAGAGTATAGACAACTGGAGGTTAGCTAAAAATACACTTTCAATTTGTACTAGGCAGCGTGATTCTTAGAAAAACTTCTGTTCACAAAATATGTGAGGAAGATTATCTAACCAACCAACACTCTGTATAGATATCTTCAACATATGGGAACTTTAGCTGTTGTGCCCTGTCCGCGATCATATTTTGGGTGAAAACAGCTCATGGCTCATCTCTCCCTTTTGGCGTAAAATATTGAGAACAAGCTATTGGATCTACTACTGCTCTAAAAATATAGACCAGGGGTGTCAATCTCAAATTTATCAAGGGTCAAAATTAAAAACTGGGACTAAGTCGAGGGCCAAACTAAATATTTATTGAAAAATTTCAACAATGTCTGCATGTTTTCTCTTCTTTTGAGATAGGTAAGGTTAAACCTTTTCTTATTAAAATACATGTTTAATAATAGTTTTGCTTAAATATTGAATCCAGAACAAGCATAATATAAAATAACACAATTAAAAAATAAATTATATCTCTATAGCTATATATCTATAGCCGGGGGCCAGCTCTAATACATATTTGATATGATCTTATGGGTCAAATATAATTATATCATGGGCCAAATTTGGCCCCTGGGCCTGAGTTTGACATGTTTAATATAGACTATGAGAGAATAAAGTTACAGTTACAAGAATAAAGTTGGATACTCCATCTTTAACATTGGCTGTTAGACCCATAGACATTCATAGACACGACCTCTGCTGTTGCTACAACACAATCACTTGGCTAGCTGCTACCACCCGCAGTGATGTCAAATTCAAATAGAATGCTCCTTCACATACAAATGTACAGTGAAGCCAATCCCCATATTAAAGTAACATGTTTTTATATATATATATATTTATGTCATTTATCTGGAATCCTCAAAGTCAAATGTAAAAGAGGATGTTTAGTGGACACTAGATGTTTTCCTGAACCACACAAAAAATTTCAACTGAAAGTTGGTAAGTTGTAAGCTAATGTCACTTTTACTTTTTAAAACACTGCAAGTGTCATATGTACAGGCTGGGCTGACCACAGCAAATGTGCGGTTTCAAAACATAGATTGACAGTTTTTGACAGTCACGTTCCACATCCGAGACGTGAATTGCACGTGGACTCAGAGAATGAACACAGCAAAGACGCATAGTCTGAGTGCGGAGCTGCAGCTTCTGCTCCTGAGCCTGAGGTTCCACCAAAGCATTTACCATCTTGTTGCTGTGGCAGTTATGTATCATTTGAAGGAGCCCAGATTCAGACAGATTAATGCCTCACATGAATTTGGAAGATTCTGAGAGATATTTCTAGTGTATAAAAGGTTCAAACATATGTCCACAGGAACTATGATATTTAAAAGTGCTTGCTAATCTACATTACATTATGAGATGAATATTCTGATGAAATATTGTATTTCTGTACAACACTGCAACTTGAAAATCAACTTAAAAACTCATGCATTATGAGTCGCTCATATGAACTTCAAAGCTACATTTCAACTTTAGCAGCGCTTCTTTTGCCTCTGAAAGCAAAAGTTTTATATTCCCTCATCTCTCTGTTTTTCTCAGTTTGATGCAAATTGACAGAGAAGAAAATGAAATAAATAATAACAAAAACTAAAGTTAGAGGGAGGAACACCAGAGGAAAAAATGGAGGGGGAGGTAGAGCCTTGTATTTCAAACATCAAAGATTTGGCGAGATCTCTGGGGGCAGACGACGCTGTGAAGAAAACTAAATTGCAGTGTGCCCCCTCTCCTATACATTGGTGTGTTGTAGTTTGTTTGGCAGCTTCTCTTCTGTTATACGTGTCATTCCATTTGTAGACAGTGGGAGGCGCCGCCATGAGTGCTTTTGGAGTTGAAAGTCTTTTAGAGATGTGTCACCCGCCCTGACCTCCCGACTTCAAACCCAAGATGGAGGAGGCAGATGGAAGAATGGATATGATTGAGACGGAGAATGGAAGGAGATGGTGTGATTGGAGCTTTTAAGGGCAAAAAGGTGACAGTTTCTGGGACCTTTCTGGAACCCTGAGAGCAGTAGTTTTAGAGATGTCAAGCCGTCAATATTTGGCCCTATTCAAACTCTATTAAAGGTGCACTATGCAACTTTTCTAGTGGAATCAGTCACCTGCTTTAACCTATCATTGGTTTACCTTTAAAAGTGCAGTCAGAAATATTCTAAAAACATCTATTTAGTCTAACTAGTGCCATCTTGATACTAATCATCTTTATTTATATAGAAACCGCCGCTTTATGGGGCACAGTCTGGATGTGAGAGG